AATAAGAAATAAGACTCACCATTGGAGATAAATAGCGGTTCTCTTCCAGCACCCTTCCCTTTTTGTTTCCTCTCAAAATGACTCAAATTTAACCACCAAACCGAAGAATATTCAATTTCAACCAAAGTCCTACCTACCTTAGGTAAAGTGGACGAATCGCTTATGTCGTTGATCCGACTACATCGAGCACATCCGTCGATTTTCTCTCGTGCTATAGTTCCATTATCTCTCAAAAATGTCACTGATGCCTAATCATTCCTTTGTAACTGCTCCTCTGACTCAACTTTGATAATCATTTTATGTGTATTGATCAGAGTTCGTAGATATCCATCTTCAATCCCAACGCGCCGTGACGCGTAAATCACCAATAAGAAGGTTATTGGAAGGAAGAAGCTCTCATTATCTCAGCCCATTGTCTAGCACTGTTGCCAGAATTTCATCTTATTTTGATAAGTGACATTTTTCATCGCCTGAGCACCTGGACTCTCAAGCGATCTAAAGTCTTCTTACTTAGTAACCTTATTTGAGAACTTTCAGTTGAACAGTAGCGCCGAAGCGATGCGACAGGAACTTCCTTAAGAGGCGTTAATTGTGATTCCCACAATACCTTCTGTACTTTACGAAAATAGAAGGTAGAGTCTACGTCTCATGAAAACCATGTAAATATCTATCATCTTAATAGAAACAGGAGGTGCTATTAACATTAGCAATTGAAAAACTTCTAAAAAAATAACACATACTCGTTTGATAATGCATTGGCGAGCATTGCTTAGAAGTGTTGCGCTGGTATTCTCGGCTTTGCTACCTAGAAAGCGGAAAATTGAAGAAAATCCGATATTTAATGCAGGCAGAATTCAAAAGCGGGTTTGTTCTGTTATGTATTACTACAAGCACTCACCGCTTATGAAATTTTCAACTAAGAATGAATCTCCTTCGACATCTTATCACAACCACCCTCACAGGCTATTTTCTGGTATCAGGAAGAAAGCGACTAGGATATCCACTTAACTGTCGTGTGAGTAGTTTTATCAGGTATTTCTCTGAAATCTCACAAAAACTCCTCATTGATAATAAAGAAAAGAATCTCTTACTTAATTTTCACACCAACGCCAAATACGAGCGAACGTAAAACGCGATGTGGTCTCGACCTCTCAATTATATTTTCAGGGAGAGAAAACATTAAGAAATTTGAAAAAGATTAAAGACTGGAAATCACTGACTAATGTTTCAACTTTTATGTAATTCCCATTTTTTCATGGCAGAGTACGTTACAAAGTACAGCCGCTAGAATGCTGAGCCAGAAGCAAAACCCAGAAACTCAAATGCGCTCCGCCGCTTCAAAGTCAGGCAGCCGTCAATTCAAAGTAGCACCGGTCATCGCCGTTGATCGAGTGACTCGAGTGGGTGTAAGTAAAACTTGAATCTTTCCCTGTCATGTGCGAGAGTAGCCTATGCGTTCTCCTCGCTCTGAAAATTTGTTCAGCATAATATTTTTTGGGCTTTTCTTGCAACAATCAGACTATCGAGTTGGTGATCTTCCTGTAGTGCGCTCAATATTCCGAAGAGTTTAGTGGGCAACGGCTTCATTTATTGGTCTTCGTTGAGACGTATCACGTGTCCAAACCATCTAAGTTTTAACGGCTTGCTCTGCAGAGCGGCCTCTTTAGTTTACGGTCCTGGAGATAGATCAGAGCTCCAAATCTTCTCTCTCCCTGCAAGACACTAGGTACTATTAGCATCGCCCTTTCTACTGCGCGCCCTTGTCACAAAGTGATCTGTCATCTTGCTTACGTAGCGACCAGGTTTCTGCTCCAACCGTTCAGGCAGGAGTAACCATTGAGTTGGAAGAATGGGCACAGAATCGGATGTTCCTAGTTCTTTTCACTGCATCATCGATACTCACAGACAATCCACAAGCCGTCACTTCCTCTTGTTCTGCTCTGGAGCTGGGTCGTTCATCATGTTGACTTTCCAATTTAGGCAGACGTAACTGAGCATCTGAAAGTATTCGTTTCGCTGAGCGCGAATAGGGCATTCAAAACTACTCCGTTCCTAGTAAACAATTCTTCAGCTGGATTTAGTCGGAGACCAACGTTTTCACGAGCATTGCCGAAATCAGTCAACATTCATTCCGCCTGGCTAGCGTCTGCTGTTACAAAAACGATGTCATCAACAACAAAGATGTTGTAATTGTCCATCATCGATCCACTCCCATGTTGTCCCGTTCTGATGCTCACATGACGTTTTAAAGGGTAGCAGTGAATAACTTTAATTAGATGCTATCGCCTTGTCGAACCACTGCTCTTACGTCGACAGTAGTCTTGCTTCATTATGGCTATATTTGTTGTTAAATCTTCATAGTTCACAAAAAATCGTTAGGCACTGAGTGTAACGCAATGGCTGTCTGTCCAGGTGCTTCTGTAACAAACTGAATCACAGACTATCTTCAAATCAACTTAATTGAGACTGAGTGCTCTCTTGTCCTCTCGCAAAACATCACTGAGTCTTGTGATCGTGTGGTTGTGGTCTATAGTATCAAATTGTTCTTCAAACCCTCATGTTAGCATGGCTTTTCTTTTCCAGAGTTTTGTCACCCAAATTCAGAATGACTCGAGTGGGAAGCTTATAGGCTATACACTAAAAGGTAAGGAGAAAGTTACTGATGTCGTGAGGTTTGGCTTTTTCTTCCATTTAAGAAGAACACGGTCTTGTTGGTTTTCCACTGACTAGTCACTTTGTATTCTGACAGGCAATGTCCAAAGAAACGATCAAGTGTTTTTGAGAACTGTCGCATTCAGGTATTCAGATCTTATATTGCCCGGACCAGGTGTTCGATTCTTCAGTGAAGAAATAGCATCAGATCTAGGAAAGTAAATTGGTGAAACGAATTATTCATCCTTCTCTATTTCATATAGCGGTAGGATAACGTGACTATTGAAAAGATCCGAGTAGTCATTAACTTTCTAATTACTGTATTCAAACCTCGCTATAAACATTTAACATATCCCGTGAGGATGTTTGGAGCCATTTGAGGTTGATACGTCAGTGGCTTACGTACGCTTCATTGGAGCCACTAGCCACACAATTAATCAACTGGAAAACATAGACGATAACCACAATCATGTGCTATCACCAAAACACGTCGCTCTATGCCTGTTACAAATTGGGGGCCCATTGTGAAGCATGTGACTCTGATGAGACGGGCGATACCGTGGAAACGTGCGTAAGCAACTGACGTATCAAGGTCGAAAAGAGTTCAAAAATTCTTACAGACCATGCTGAGTTGAGTAGTAATCATGAACAGTTTTCTTCATTGCCTTTTCGACAGTTCTGACTGTTCCGTCTCAACATCGGACTGCAATGATCTTATCTTTGTAACTGACTAAACGAAGCTTGTAATTAATCTACAGCATCGCAGCTAAATAATTGGATTTTTTATATTTAAACGAGAAAACCATACTGTTGCGAAAAGGCAGAGTTTGTCTTACAAAAATTCTCATAATATGCTCTACTAAAAAGAAAACACAACTATTGCTTTCGGATTAATTAGCCCGCTGTTCCAACTTCATCAGCCCACTTATTAGAACTTATATAACGAAATTTTGGATTCTTTTCTATTAGACGATAACAAATGAATATCCAACTCTATTTGCTGGACAAAAATTTCTCATAGGAGTGTTACTAATTAATCGAAAGCTGAGCCTGTGGATAGAGCCCTAAGTGGCAGATTTTCAAAGCACCCTTTTATAGCGATGTAAAATTCAAAATGAAAATATGTTTCACACCCACCCACGTTTTCATTTCCATCACGCTTATATTCGCTGGAAGCACAAAAATCATATGCACATGTAGAGAAAGTTTCCTAATATCTGAGTCAACCGTTTTAAATGGAGCCCCTTCAAAGCGGAGAAAAAGTTCCCAATTGAAAACAAATTGCACCCCACATGTCTACACTTTAAACCATCGATCGACTGCTTCGGACCCAACGCGTAGATTAGCCGGTAAATAAGATCGCCAAAGATGTGAAACCCGACCTCATTTTCCCTGCTGCACTGCAAAGAAGCGGTCTTTCCAGAGAATAAGCACAGCATTGGAATCAGCAAATATTACCGTATCGAATGATTGCTAATAGTCTAAAGAAAAGGCTCTGTCTGGCTAGGTTTCGCTTACCGCGCTCTCAAAAAAGCTTTTCCAAAAGCAAAACACATTGTTGATTCTTCGAGACTCGTGCTATCGAAAGAGTGCTAACTTTCTAAAGAAGGAGTTTTGTCCAGCGAAGTATGAGAGAAATAAGAAAAAGAAGCGCGTGGTCGTGTGAAACATATTCTTATTCTAGATTTTACAGCGTTATAAAAGGGTATTTTGAAAAACCGGCTACGCAGGGCTGTAGCCGGAGATTTTGGCTTTCGCATGATTACTTACACTTATTTGAAAAATTCTTGCACAGCGAATGAGGTCGAATATTCATTTGTCTCCGGTTAACAGAAAAGTACCAAATTTTGATAACTAATCAGAATTCTTTCTATCTGACCGCTACTTGCGGGGGTATGATTTTGTAATATACCCAATGATGTGGAGTGCTGTGCAAAAACATTTGCGTCAGCCGGGATTCGAACCCAGATTTCATTCTTTCCGGGAACGTATGCTAACCGTTGCACCACCGACGCTCGTCTGAGTTCGAATCCCGGCTGACGCAAATGTTTTTGGACGGCACTCCACATTATTGGGTATATTACCAAATTTTGACTCGAGAGAAGTCGATGCCATCCTGTCATGAAGAGTTCTTTTATTTCCATTCAGGCATTCTTCATCACACCTTCCTGATAGACTGCATCACACCACTGTATCCTTAGAAATAAGTAAGGGAAATGTTACCCTAATGCGCCTAGACATGGAATCATTCACGTCATGATCTACAACAACTCATTTTATCGCTTTTCTAGCGATATCCTGACGTTTAACTACATATCCACTGAAGTTAAGTGTTATGCAAAACCTTGGACCTCAGCCTGGAGTTGAACCTGGATCTCACTTTTAATGGGAGGGTATGCTACCACTACACCACCGAGACCACTGCTCTACGAAGTGCGATATCGAGATTGTCCTTCCGTCAACGGATCCGATCTGATGAGCACACATTGGGACTGAATTCCATTTTGCCGGCTTCATATCGCAGAAAGAGTGATAGCAAAGCGGTGGCCAAGATGGTGTAGTGGCTGACATGTGCTCTCGGAAAGTTTCAAACGTGGTTTCGACTCCCGCCTGAGGCTCCCAGAACGGGAAGCGCATGGGAGCCTTCCAGGGAACGGCTTCTAATTAGGCGTCTCTTTTATGCATATTGCTGTAAGGTCCGTGATTACGGTCAAGGATTATATTGCGCGGAATATAAATCTGGGTAGCTACTTCAGCGATCCGCGTTCAAACTCGGCCTTATTTCGACTAGTACTTTCTCATTGATTTGGTTTTTTCTGTGTTAATCGGTTGACTTCCATGGACCCATGAGCGTGTCCGATAACTCCATCCCCTCTGCTCCGAGTGAGCGCCGATTACCTGCAGTCGACGTCCAATCGTGGCATAGGAGGAGTCGTTGGGCACACCCATGGCTCCACGGAAGTCAACCGGTTAAATGCTTCTTTTGAAGTTAGGGCAAATAGCTTTTAGTTTGAGGAGCGGACTAGCGCAGTGATCATAGGTGCCCTGCAACGCTCAAGTGGTCAATAGTTCGACCCCCCGCCCCCAATCCTTATTGAGCCTTTATCCCTACGGGTTCTACGATGGCACGAGACCTGACCGGGAGGACAGCAGCACTGACGTGATACATCGGCGAGCTGCCACTTGGCATCGAAAGGCTCAGACGTGCATTCGGTCACCGCTACGACTGTACGAATGGAGTTCAGTGCATGACGCATCTCTCTGGGATCGATCAACGCTGACAGCTTTTTTGTTTCTTCTCCTTGTCAAAATGAAGGCGCTGAGCTGTTTTTTTTTTCAGATAATGACGGTTCTGACGGTGGTGATGAACGTTATCCTCTCCACGCTGGGATATGTTGCATGCAGAAGTCTAATCATCGAATACATCCCGATATTTATTCAGCGAAAAATGTACGGGAACGATCAGTGTAAGGTAAGTGAGCGCTTCGCATTTTCCGAATGTTGTAAGAGTATGTTTTCAGTAAGAGCGCATGTGACGCAGTGGTTAGAAGTGCCCCGCGTCGCACACGAGGTCTGGTTCGATCTCGCGCTCATGGCTCACCAGGCCATCCATCCCTCCGGGGTCGGTAAATTGGTACCAGGCAGGTCTCAGACTTGTCTGGGAGGATAAGCAGCACTGACTCGGGTCAGCGGGAGGCCACCGCGAGTCATTGTAAAGGCCAGATATGCATCCAATCACCTCGAACGAAGTTAGAAATTGAAGTCGAATGCATGGCGCATCACTCAGGGATTGATCAGCGCCAAGAGTTTTATCCTTTATCCCTTGTGTTTTCGGGTTCTTTTCCGCTATGCGGGAATAAATGAATATTCGACTTTAGTCACGAAAAACACATCAATGTGTAGAGGAAATTTTCTAGTGTTAGAGCCAGGCGTTTAATCTGGGATTTCGAGATTTATTCCTCAATTTATGGCGTAAAAAAGAGTGCTGTGCAAAACGAGCGTCGGTGGTGCAGCGCGTTAGCATACGCTCCTGGAAGAAAGTGAGACCTGGGTTCGAATCCCTGCTGGCGCAAATGTTTTTGCACAGCACTTCACATTATTCGGTATACCATAACATCATACCACTGCAAGTGGCAGTCACATAAGAAGAATTATGGACTGATTCCCTAATTTAGCAAATATGGTACTTTCATGTGGCCTGCGGAATGGCCAACCCATCGACCGGGTGTGTTGAAACGGCCACATCCTTCCTGCCCTCTCCCTCACCTCGTAGAATTGCCAAGATCCACTTGCCCGCCTATGTGAAGTATGTGAATTTGGTCTTACTTTACCTGCTGCGCTAGAGGAGAAGCCGTCTTTCAAGTGGATAAGCACAACATTGGAATCTTCTGATCTTACGGCATCGATTGATTTCCAATGGTCTGAGAAGAGGGCTCTGTTCGGCAAGAAATGTGCGCGTGTGAAACATAATTTTATTTCGGACTTCACAGCGTTATAAAGTGGTCTTGAGAAACAGGCCCCCACGCACGGCTCTAGCCAGAGGTTCATGCTTTCGAACTATTACTGACACTCCTATGAAAAATTCTTGTACAACGAATGAGGTCGAATATACATCTGTTCCTTAATAACCTAAAAATACCACTTTTTACACTGATTTACGCATTTTACTATGTTATGGAACATGAGGTCGTTCCATAACTTTTGGCACTGGAGCAATAAACACCAAATTCAGCGCCCAAAAATAATCGAACTTCAATGGTTTTGGTATCGTTCAACTGTGTATTTTCTTGCAAATATTTTGGTATAGAGCTTGCCTTTATTTGCTTTGAGATGGAGCTGTTGTGGGAACAAATTTGCCTGCTGTCCATGCACAAATGGCGCGTAGGCGAAAATGCTAGTGAAGCGGCGTGCAAGATTCATGAATTTCCTGTGGACGGCCCGAGCGCAGCTGATCTTCCAACCTGTACTCTCCAGCTTTGAACTTCGTGAACCACTTCCAAGCCGTACTATCTGTATCCCTGTCATTGCCCCAAGCTCTATGAATTTTAGGCGCCGCTTCACTAGCATTTTCCCTTTCGCGCCATTCGTGTATGAGTAGCGAGCGAATTCGTTCCCACGACAGATCCTTCTCAAAGCAATTGTAGGCAATTTGTGTAGCAAAATCTTCGCGAGAAAATGGGCCGTTGAAAGGCACCAAGATCACGCAGTTTTAGTTCTTTCTGGTCAGTAGATTTGGTGTTTATCGCTCTAATATCATAACCTATAGAACCAGCTAATTCCTTCTTTTGTCGGCTACTCATTGCAAATCTTGTTGAAACATTCATATATAGACTTTGGGAATGTTCTCGATAAAGGGAAGTATTATATCGCTCATAACAACTGCAACGCATCGACTATAGGTACCAGTGGTGTATTCACTTGGTCACAGCTTATCATTCATAGTTCGTCGCTTGTTCACCAAGATAGGGGGCGACGATGATGGCAAAAAACGCCGAAACCAATATGCCTGTCAATCTGTTGCTTTGGATGATTCAATGAAACCTTGAAAAAAAAGGGCTAGAAGCATTAGCAGAAGCGATATGTGAATGTTTTAACGAGGCTTGTAATCAGCAGTCGATGAGAAAAGGTGGTTGATGCCCATAATGAGGTGACAGATGAATATTCTACCCTATTCGCTGGACAAGAACTTTTCATAAGAATATTAGTAGTCATTCGGAAGCTTAAGTCTTTGATTGGCGCGCTGCGTGGCCGGTGCTTTCTAAAGACCCTTTTATAACGTTGTAAAGTTAAAAATTATATTATGTTTTCGCATCGGCCGCGCAATTCAGCTATTATTACTGTGAGAGCACGAAGAGCATGCCAACCACAGGAAAGGTTATAGCATCAGAGTTATGCGTTTGATCTGCGATTTCTTTTGAAGCGTGGAAAAATCCTTAGTCGAATGACAGAAGTCGCACTTCTCCGAAACGCCAGCCGATAGATTATGGCTGGCTACCGCGTCGAATCTGCGACCATCAGACCCTCCGACCGTTAATTAGCCTATATACAAGCAAGCCAAATGTGTGAAACTCGATTTTCTATTTCCTGCTGCACTGCAGAGAAACGCTCTTTCCATAAGATAAGCACAGCGTTGAAATTCATGAGTCCTGTGCTATCGAATGATTACCAAAAGTCTGAAAAAGAGCTTTGTCTTGCGAGGAAAATCCGTGTGAAACACATTGGTTTTCCTTCTGTAACACCGTCAAAGAAAAAGGTTTTTGCAAAAACCGGCCACTTACCGCGTTAGCCATACATTTGAGCTTTCGAATAATTACTAACACTCTTATGAAAACTTCTTGTCAGCGAATGGGTTCAAATATCTATTTGTCGCCTTATAATGGACAAATACCAAGAAGGTGTTTTGAAGTGTTTTCAGAAAAGTGATGATCCTGTACCGGAGCCAATGGGTGTAATTTGTGCTGCTGTCTATCTGATAGTCATGTTCCTCTTCATACCTTTTCCTTTCGCTGAATGGATAGGCTCCGAGTAAGTTTCCGAATTTCTAGGGCGTATAGGTCTTGCTCCATGTTTTTACCTTTCAGAGGATCTATATGATTATTCTTGCCTGGGTAGCACCCTGCTAGAAGGTGCTCCCAGAAATGACACGTAAGTTCGAGTCCTGCTGCGGTCGAAACTCTTGTATATCACTCAGTATCGTTGTGTATATAGTTAAGTCGTCAAAGTATGCTACATGAGCGCAAAAATCCAAAATTTCTCATCCAACGGAATAGTAGTCATCTGTTCGATGTCAATAATGTTGAGTGATATGCAAAATTTTAACCACGGTGGGAGTTGAACTCGCGTTTCACCGCTTCCTTTTTGCATGCTTACCAATGTTTGACTTCAGTATCAGCTAGTATCAGTTGAATCATCAATCATTTATTGAAACTTTCCGAGCTAAGGCAATCTCAGCCTGTCGAATAATTTTTGTCCCTACCGTTTCTTCTGCTTGAGACTCTACCAAGTGTTAGGGGAGCGTGGATCTACGGCTTCTGCATCTCTAACTAGCCACGTTGGACGGTATGCTCCACTTCCTCTGTATCTCCAACCCCCAGCATGCCATTGTTAGAAGCAGTAGCCTGCCACTGCTAGACGCAGCACACTGGAAATTAGAGATGCAGGGGTGGAGCAGACCGTCCAGAGTTACCAATTAGTGATGCGAAGTAGGACCACGGTCTTGTAAGGGTTAATCTGCGTATCATTAGAGGAAGGGCGACGTTCTTATCAGTCAACAATACAGTTTGTTCAGCAGAAAGAGAGAGAGGGGAGGGGGGTGGCCGAGTGGCTGTGATGCTGGATGCGGCGCGACTTGGGGCTGATCTCCGGCAGCTATTAACAACCGCCCTGTGGAGCGCCACAGCCTTGCTATCTTCAAGGTTA